CACAGGCAAAGTTCCCCTTAGCTCAAAACAATCTGCAGACCGAAGAAGCGCATCTCGGGATGACCGGTTCTGAATCTCCACCAGTGTAACTCTTTCAATTGTGTGGAAACTCACATAAGAATTTTCATACAGATATGGGACTCTGGCACACCCTGCTAAATCATCTTTAAAATATTTTTTTAAATCAAAAAGCACAAGAATCTAATGTGAGAGAATGGAAATAAACATCACAGATAGAGTTCATCGGTGTTATAAGTTTTTTTCTCCAGACTAGGTTGTTTCCAACTGATCTTGGTTTCTAGGTTTAAAACTTATGAAATAAGATTGTAAAGTCAAGGGCTAAATAGTGACTTGGGGGGAATCCCCCCTGGTGCCCACGGCAGAGCAGGTGCCTGTGGGGTGGGAAGAGCAGGCCTCAGGGCCAGTCAATTCCGCTCTGCAGGGAGGTCAGCCAGGTCCTCTCATTTCTCCAAGAAGGAGAGACCAGGAAAACCCATGTCCCAAAATCCCATTCCTTCCTTCTGCCATAAATGTCCTTTTCATTTCTTGTCTGCCTTAAAATATTTTGATGTCATGTCCTCTGTCCTAGGACATGTGACGAAGTGTCCCCCAAAGTGACAAATAGTCAGGTGAATTGGTATTTTTCTTGGCGACTTTTGATCGACTATGCAATGTTTAGTGCTGAAGTTCGGAGAAGTTTCAGGGACAGCTGGAAGAAGTGTAAAAGAATCCCCACATTTCAAGGTCTAAACTTCCTTGAGTTCCCTCGGTAAATTAGGGTGGGCTCATAAAAGAATGGTTTTTTATTTCATGCTAGGAGACCTGAGTCTTTAGAAGAAAAAAACCCAACCAACCCATATTTCTCTGTTTCATTCCTGAAAACGTTTATCAGGAAATCTACTCTGCAATGACAAATAAAATAGGGGACGGGGTGGGTGGAGGTCGTCTCACTGAAATAAATGCCAGCTCTTAAAATTTCTCAATCCGTGCAGAATGCTACTCTCTCTACCTAACTAGGTCCAGACTTTCTGCCTGCGAGGAATCGAGCCTTTAAGTAGCAGGGAGACTGACTGGTGGATTTGCTACAATGAATTCATTTGCATTCATTCAACAGTGGTTAGGGGTCACTTGTTTGGGAGATAAGAGTTCTAAGTGCCAAAGAAAAGGACTCTGTCTCTCTCTCTCTCTTTTAACCTGGGTCCCCATCCAAGCTCAGCAGGAGTCACTTCTTACAAATTCAAAGTGCGCTTGAGGAAGGAGTTAACAGTCTCCCTATTTAGAAAGTAAAGCTTGAAATAGCACTTCTGGGTGCAGACCGATTCTCATGCTCCACATCCCTAGTTGTGGTTTGTAACCACCAAAGATTTCAGAGTGGGCAATAAATGCTGGCCTTGAAGATGGAAGGCACACCTGGCTGTCAGGGGTGGGGTTCTGAGACCAGAAAGTGACGTGGCCATGAAATCAGCTTCCAGAGTTGTTTAATTGTTTTGCCCTCCCCGTTGCGCTGGTGAAAGCTGTGGTTCGCTCCTCAGGAAGATGAAATGCACAGACACACATACTTACAAATGAGTTCAAAAGATTCGTATGTTAGAAAACTCAGGTCTTGGAATGGAAGATATTTTCACAAAAGTATTTGGCACCTGTGAGCAAAGACTCATAACAGCCTCAAGTGGCAGAGTCCAGTTTCCACATCACACAGGATCCACTATGCCTGCCGCCTTTGCCAATCTGGCTCTGCAACGCTGCATGGAAATCTTGGCCCGGGCTCGGGACTCAAACTGCTGAGCTCCAAAGCCTGGGACTGGGTCTCAGCACCGGCTATCCGCTTCTAGGCTCCAGGAGGCACTGAGCCCCGGACCCAGTATTGCGATCCTTGCCTATCCTTTGCTTCATTCACCTTCCCTGCCTCTCTGTACCTGACGGTGCTCTTGCTTTTTACAGAACAGTTTTTTCAGCCCCTGCCAGTGCGCCTGGAGAGCAAGTTTCACGCACCCAGCTCCCATCTCCAAGCTTTTATTCCCTCGTGGCAGTGGCGCCCCATTAGCTAAGAATTAGTAAAGTTTAATAAGGGCATCTTGGAAGTTAGGTGTTCCGGAGAAAGGAGGTAACCGTCCTGGAAGTGGTGCGAGGCAGGTGTCCTGGGAAATGCTAAGGCTTCTGGAGACTGAGGACAGGGGTGCTGACCTGCGGGTCAGGTCGCTCACCGCGCAGGCGGGGCTCGATTCTCTCTGCCTGGGAACCACCTTGCTGGACTCCTCACCTACCGCCCACAGCCCCGATACTTCTGCTGTGCTCCCCCATCCTGGGAGACTCTGTAGAAGCTGTTTCAGAGCGCGCGCTGCGCGCTCAAACCCAAAGATCTTGGGGACAGTGAGAAAAGCTTGTTTCTCCGCACTCTACAGGCTGAGAGCAGCAAGTCACAGCAGGGGCTTTCCAGGAGGGCTTGGAGCAGGAAGCTCAAGGGGAAGGGATCCTGCACTGGCTGTACTGGGTGTGGGAGGGTCGAAGTTGGTGTTATAGAGCACCCTTACTCTTAAGAGTTGGGATAGGTGTGATGCGAACCGTCAAGTTAGGATGTAGAAATGACCGCACAAGAGACCGAGAGGCGGCCTTGGGACAAGATTGAGTGAACTCGGCACATGCCCCTGTGCACCAGTGTCTGCTTGCGAGTGCCTGTGCCTTGGGGGTGGGGTGGGGGGTGGGCGTGTGTTTGGAGACAGTAATGAGTTTGCGAGTGTGGAAGCGGATGACTGGAAATGACAGGGAGCAATGGTCTCTGCAGGGACTCCCGTCAAGCCTGCTCTGCTCTCTGTTGGAGAACTGAAGTGCGGGGGATACGGGTGCAGGTCCGGAGTCACACGCCAGTGGGACATCTGGGCAAACAGGTGCCGGAAAGCAGGGCAGCTGGGCAAATGGTGCCAGCGGCCAGATGAACAATAATAGGTGATGGATGGCGGGGGAAATAGGAGACTGATAGGGCTGCTTTGGAAGCTGGAAAAGCCTCTGTGCCTTGCACCTCCCTGCTGTGGCCCAGTGGGACATTGGTCCCCTACTTGAAGAACCACCCAGGGTAAGTTCAGGCTGCCCAGAATGTATGGATCAAGATCTTAAGGAATCCCACATAGGGACCTTGAAGCTCTTCCAGATTCCTACCTAGCTGAGGGCAGGGTGAGGCAGATTGCTAGTTACAATACCCCTTCAAGAAATGAAGCCCCCATTTTAAAGATGAGTGCACTGAGGCCCTGAGAAATTACTTGTTCATAATTCTACAGCCTGGAATTTGTTCAGCCAGAATTGAGTTCAGTCTGGCAAAGTTCTTGCTCCCATCTCCACCTCTTGTTCCCACAAGCTTCCCTCCTCTGTGGGCGATTTCTGATGCTTGAATTAAACATGCCTCGCTGGGCCTCAGAAAACCCTGTTATGCATTAACCCTCTCACCCTCACTTGGATGGGGGTTGAAGTTTAGACTTGGGGGAGCCAGGAGTCCCTGCAATCCCAGACTCTGCCCTAGATGACCGCACAGCTGGGGATGGAGTTGGGATCCACAGTCAAAACCGGATGAAACCGAACAGGTGAAATTGGCAATGACGTCAAACTGTCTTCAAAATCCTGCTCACTTCATGGGTGTTTTTCTTGGTCCCCTCCACTCCCCCCTCTCTTTTCCATCAATGACCTCAATGCAAATACAAGTGGGATGATCCTGATGGATGCTACAGGTTCTGGACGCAAGTGGGTGATACAAATACGTCGGAGGCACAGGATCCTTCTCATTGGTTGCGCGGAGCTCCTGGACCATCCCAGACCCGGAGCAGCGGGAATAAGAGGAGCCGCTGGTGCTGAGAGGCATCAGAGCGACTTTCCACTTGGAGTGTCACTGCCACTTCCACAGTGCAGTCGCCTGACACGAACGCCACCACGGCCGCTGCCTCTACCTGCTGCAGGTGAGCCCCGAGACTTCGGCTTAGCTGTGTGATTCTCTTTATCTCTTCTCTTCCCTTCCCTCTCTCTCCACTGCTCTATCTCTTGGTCGATCTCCTTGCCTGTCTCGAAGTCTCTCTCCACTTCTGTCTGTTAGTCCTCTATTCATCCCATACTCCTACCCGGGCTAACGCTGGACAATCTCCGTCCGGGGACTTTCTGCTCCACTCTTCCCGCGCAGAGTCGGACTTCAGGCTCACTGCCTTGAGCTGCACGCCTGCTTAGACCGATCTCTGATGCTGGAGTTCCCAGGTACCGTGCGCAAAGCAGGATGCAGGAGTAACTTTCAGCAGATTGCGCGCTCACGGGTCTGGTCTCCCGCCTGTCCGTCCCAGGGAACTCGGTTCGGAACCCGGGTCAGCGCTAGTGGGGGGCAAATAGACTCAACAACCGAGGGCAGACAGCCGTTAAAATCCCAGTTGCGGGTTGTGGGCGCGTTTTTCCCAGTTTAAGTCCTCACAATTTAACACTCTGCTAAGCTTGCTTCTTGGAGGGGACACTTTGCCCAAGTGCGGGGCGGCTAGCAGTAGAATGTGGTCTTGAGTTTCTCAGAGGTTCCAACTGCCGACATTCTTTCTCTACCTACCTCCACGTACACCCCTAGGTGTGAGCAAAAGCGCCGCACAGGGAATACAGCTCTAGGTTGGGTTACAAGAGCAGCTGGGGCCACAGGGTGTTCAGAGACCACCCTCGGGTCTTGGCCAACAGGTGCAGGTGAGAATGGGTGGGGTGGTGTTGCAGGGAGGGCGCTGTGGCCTGAGACGTCGTCACCTGGCTGTCCTCCTAGAATGGTTCCTCCAGCTTCCCTAAACCGGGCGTGCTGCAGGCTCACCGGATCTTCCAGCAAGTCCACTTCACTGATATGGAAACAATGGTGAAATGACCAGCCTGAAGCCCCAGACGAGGGCCACTGACCAGGGAGTTAGTTAGCTGCAGAAGCAGGACCAATCCAGGTTTGTGGGCTCATGAAACTTTGACCTGGTGCAGATGTTGATCTGATTGTTCTCTTGCAGAGTGGCATCATGGCTTTCTTCAAGTTCTCCCTCTTCCTGGCTCTTGGCATCTTTGTCCTGTACCAGGTGGGCAAGCTCCAGGCAGCACCATCCAAGTAAGATGCCCTGAAAGTAACACACTCCCTTCCCACTGCCCCTGGGGTTAAACAGTTCTGTGGTCTGAATTGTAGTGTGTTGAATGTTTAGCATTCACCGTGGCCGGGGTTGGGAGGGATGGGCGGGGGAAGGAAAAAGGAGTTTCTTTTTTTCTGATATAAATAGGTGTGAGCACAAATTGACAAACTGTAGTGATATGGTATTCTCCACTGTAAATTTTACAAAGCTCATTTAGTGTCATAGAGTCTTTTTTGTTGGCTTTTATCAAAATTTTCTATATTTTTTTAGCCCATTTTTCTAATTCAACCATGATCTCAGAAATGAATTGCCCAGATGCTTATCCTGGGGAGGGGACAGGAAAGACTCAGAACTTGTATTGAGTTTGCTACCTTCTTTAGGTCCTCTGTGGAGAACAGTCTACCCCCTGCTTCACTCAATGAGGAGGAAGGAGACCTCCTTCTGGCTCTCCTGATGAGGGAGTTCATGAAAATGGCCAATGAGAAGGAGCACCTGGCAGAGGACTCCAGGTAAGGCTTCACACCTGCCCAGCACAGGATATGGAGGATGGTCCTTGTAGAGATTATCTGCTGTGCTAATTGTGTTCAATAGGAGCAACACTGAAGGTTCATTGGCACCTTTCAGAACAGTAATTTTACAATGATTGTCCCACAGGGCAGGCTCTGCCCAGTACAACCTCTTCCTGACAGGTCTTCTCTTTTTCTCCATTGTGTAAATCAGCATCACTGCCCAAAAGAGAGCCTGCAACACTGGCACCTGCCTGACCCAAAAGCTGGCAGGCTTGCTGAGCAGATCCGGAAGTGTGGCAAACACCAAAATGCTGCCCCCTGACATGGTTGCCAACAACCCTGGCCGGAAAGGCAGGGAGCTGGATGCTTAAGCACCTGACAGACCCTAGGAAGAAGGTGACTTTCTTTGTATTGTTGGGTGGGTGGGTAAAAAATCCACATGGGAGGGTGTTGGGAGAAGGACAAGAGTCCCAATAGACCTTGTTTACTTAAAACACTGTTTCCTGCAGTTATAATTGTGATTAGTATTTGAGTTTGAAATGCAGTGACCCTATGCTTTTGGACTACACACTGCAGCGTTATGTACATCTGAATGCACAGCATACGCTCGGGGTCAAGAACTGCATCTGCCTGCCACTTCTGATATGACGTTGGGCCAAACACTCTCTCTGAGCCTCAGTTTCCCCATCTGTAAATTGAGAGCAATGATAGCAGCCACCTGCTACTATTATCATAGAGAAAAATAAGATAATGGGTGTCAATAGCTTCACAATTAATAATTAAATTCTAGCTGTTGTTCTCTTTCTCCTAGATCATCCCAAAGCTGAACCCCACTTCTTTAAATTGGCTTGGAGGAATGCATGGAAAACACACCCTTCTGCATGCTACTTGACATTAAAACACCCGGTCCTACCTAAAATAAAATAAATATAACTGCATATTACCTGGTGTGCATCTCTTCGTATCTTATTCTATATTCAATACATATGACGGCAAATCTCACTGGCTTACCTGGTAGCAAACCGGGGCTGGGCCCAGGCAGCCAACCTGGTGAAGGTGGCAGTTCTGCCCAGCCTTCAGGGGACATGAAATTGCCACCTCCTGGGTGTCTGGGGACACATAGTAATGCTGGGCCTCAACAGAAATCTTTCTTTAAAGAAAGCTTGTCTTTTGAGAACCTCACCAAGAAAAAAAAAGTAATTTTATACATTTAGAAGTAATTTGATACACCTGCAGTTTGTGCTGTTTTCCCCAGATCTCAGGGACCTGTGAACACTTAGTTGACCAGGTTGACTCAAAAGAGGCAAAGGCAACATGCTTGGGATGGGTCCTCAAAATCCTAGACCCTCTGTTTTCAGTAAAATATCCCTTGTAGGGCCCAAAAGGTGTGGCTCAGTTGGTTGGGCATCATCCCACACAGTGAAAGGTCCCTGGTTTGATTGCCCTTTGGGGCATGCGTGAGAGGCAATTATTCAATATTGCTCTCTTGCATCGATGTTTCTCTCTTGTTCTTTCTCTGTCCCTTCCCATCTCTCTATAAATAAATAAATAAATTAAATTAAAATAAATAAAAATTTAAATATTCCTTGTTGGAATTAGAACCCTTTGCATTTCAAAGAGACAATTCACATTTATTTTCAGACAGTGCCCTGGTCCACAGCTTCAAAGGACATCTGTTCCCTACTCCTTAATTCAGGTTACCCAGCCCTGCCTTTCCTCCCCATGAGCACCTCCCCCTGCAAACACCCCATAGCCAGCAAAGCCCTTTAGCCACACTAGCTTGGAGTTTGATTAGGAATCACAGACTGGCAGACCTAGAAAGGCCACCAGAGGCCATCCAACCCGGCTTTTTCCTTCTCTGACATGCAGAGAGGTGCACTGCTTCAGTTCCTGTGGTGAGTCTAACATACATCCATACATTTAACAAATACTAATCAAGGACCTGCTACATTCTCGACGCAATTCGAGCCACCAGGAATAGAGCAATCAACAGAAGAGACAAACCCTTACATTCACGGAGCTCCATTCTAAAGTGGGGGAGACCGAGGTGACGCATGCTGTGAAATCAGACACTCCGCATTGGAAGGAATCTGGGATGTCACAGGGTAGAATGCCTTGTCCAAGGCAGAGATCAGCATCCCGGCATTGACACCCTTGGCACCTGCTAGGACTACTGGTGACAAGCTGCTGACTGTGACTCTTGGGAGACTGGGAAGCCAGTTTCACTCATAGACGGTCAATTAACTGGGATTATTTAGTTACAGAAATCAGCCACTTTCATCCATTGACTCTATTATTTCCTCAGGAGCATATAGAATTGTGACCCTTGCTCCTGTTTGGTCTGTCATCCACACTATAGCCCAGCCTTTGGCTACAAGGTCCAAGCTGACCTGCCCTTCCTCTCCTCTCACCACCTGCCTGGCCTCATCCTCTACGTCTCCCTCACACATTGGCCTTCTTACTATCCCTCATCGCCTATCCCCCAGCACCAACCCCTCGGCTTTGCCCCTCCAGGTGTTAGCACTCACTGGTTCCGGACTCTGTGCAGAATGCTCCTACCCTTGGCCCTGTCTCCTCCAGATCTCTACTGAAATGTCACACATGCTGGCCCTCCTCTGTGAAATGGAACCCCACCCTGCTAACACATTCTCACCCTCCCCTCCTTGCTTTGTTTTCTCTTTACCTCGTACTACCTTCTATCATATATATATTTCTAATTATTCACCTTATCGCTCATACCCCATTCTGTAAACTGTATAAGCTCCACATGGACATGCATATGGCTATTTTGTTCATTGCTGAATCCCCTACACACAGAGCAGGATGCCTGGCAAGAGGTAGCACTCGAGAAATATTTACTGAATGAGTGGAATTCAGTCCTTTTTAATGTTTTTGGTCAACTTTCGGGATCCCTCTTGGTCTGATTTTCTTCAGGTTAAACTGTCCGAGGGCCTGCATCGTCTGCATTTACATGACCTAGAGAGTGATCCCTCAAATGCCTGAAAACTTCTGACATGGCTGCTAGTTATTAATGAGTCTGTTTCTTGATCAAGGCCTCCTCAAGGACTATTCCTTCACTTTGACCAATCTTCTTACCCTCCATTTCTCCTCCCCTGGATCGATATGACCAGCTTTCCTTATTCCCATGCTGTAAACACAGCAGACTGGTAGGGTGCTCTCTAGGAGTGATACCTATGACTAGGCAGGTAAGTTCAAATCAGGAAGGGAGGAAGCAGAAAGACCATTTTAGTCTGGCACCCAAGGAAGCTTCTCCAGTAATTAATAGAGTTCATATTGTATTGATGTCCCACTAGACGTCTGGGTAGTTCCTGACTCAAAGCTCAAGAGAGTGTGATTAATTTGAACCCTCAAAACCAAAGTAGGGTGCAGTGCCTCAGAACCCTAAGAACAGATGAAGATCATATTAAGGCATTGAAAGACAACATGGAGAGGCAAAACTTTTGGTGTAGTTGTAGACCAGTCTTTATTCTTCACTACCTACACGGGTCATTAGAGCAAAAGAATGTCTTTTAAGGTCAGTTAAAGCCAAAGACTCAGAGCTTGAGAATATATGCTGTGACTGATTGAATAATTGCTCCCAATTCTTCAATATGCCATGGCAATATTTTACATGCATATCCTTGCCATAGCTGCATGGTGGTGAAATTGACATCCCTGCTCCTCTGTTTATGGGGTTTGCCAGGTGACTGGATTTGGCCCATGAGATATTGGTAGATGAGGTACCAGACGAGGCTTGAAATGTGCTTATGTGGTTGGGTTTTGTGTTCTTGTAATTCTTTCATTGCCCTGAAAAGAGCATGCCTTAGGTATCTGTTGATATGTTAGCCTGGGCCCCAAAATGAGACCTGTGGAATAAACCTGACCTTAGTCTGAATGCACTTGCAACCAACACCAGCTGGAGGTCATCCTCATCCTTACCACACACATGTGAGCAAAAAAAATAAATATTTGTGTTTGAGATTTTGAGGTTGTTTCTACGTATCATTGTTGTGGCAATAGCTAAGTGATACATATGAATTTGGAATATTATAAAGTGAATGTGACTTCCCCAAATTTATATATTGAAGCATTAACTCCTGATCTGATTATGTTTGGAAATAGGACCCTTAAGGTGGGGTAAGTAAGGTTAAGTGAGGCTATAAGGGAGGGGCCCTAATCTGATAGGACTGGTGTCCTAATAAAAAGAGGAAGAAGAGAGTGTTACTTCTGGAGAAGATGGGGCATAGGTAGCTACACTATGCCTCCTTGCACAACCAAAAGGACAACAACAGATTTAAAAACAAAAAACAACCAGAACTGCCAGAAAATAGAACTGTATGGAAGTCTGACAACCAAGGAATTAAAGAAGAAACATTTACCCAGGCTGGTTGGAGGGGTGGAGATGGGCAGCCGAGGTGGAGAGGACTTGTGGCAAGGTGGTGGCTGGAGGACTGGGGCAGGCAAGGTGGCAGTTGGTGGACCAGTGGCCCCACATTTGTGTGTAAATAAACTGGAAGGAACAACTGTGGAGCGAGACAGACCATGCAACCCAGCGTTCCAGCACAGGGAAATAAAGCCTCAAAACTTCTGACTGAAAAAACCTGTGGGGGTTGAGGCAGCAGGAGAAACTCCCAGCCTTACAGAAGAGTTCTTTGGAGAGACCCACAGGGTTCTAGAAAGTACACAAACCTACCCATCCAGGAAACAGCACTAGAGAGCCCAATTTGCTCATGGGTAGCAGAGGAAGTGACTGAAAGCTGGCCCAGAGCCTCGCAAGCAGCATTGTTCCCTCTTGGACCCCTCCTCCACACACAGCACCACAATTGCAGTGACGTGGGTTGCCTCACCCTGGAGAATGCCTAAGGCTCTGCCCCTTACTACATAACAGGTGCACCGAGACAAAAAATGACCCAAATGAGAGAACAAATCAAAGCTCCAGAAAAAATACAACTGAGTGATGAAGACATAGCCAACCTAACAGATATAGAGTTCAACACACTGGTAATCAGGATGCTCACAGAAATGCTTGAGTATCACAAGCATTTGTGTCACTTTGTGTCACAAAATAGAGGAAAGAGTGAAGGCTATGCAAAGTGAAATAAAGGAAAATGCACAGGTGATGGGAAGGAACCTGGGACTCACATCAATGGCTTGGACCAGATGGAAGAAATGAATATTCAACCAGAACAGAATTAAGAAAGAAAAAAATCAAGAAAATGAAGAGAGGCTTAGGAATCTCTGGGACAACTTTAAAAGTTCCAACATCTGAATCACAGAGGTGCCAGAAGGAGAAGAGGAAGGACAAGAAATCAAAAACTTATTTGAAAGCATAATGAACTTCCCCAATCTGGTGAAAGAAATAGACTTCCAGGAAGTCCAGGAAGCTCAGAGAGTCCCAAAGAAGTTGGACTCAGAGAAGTACACAGCAGGGCACATCATTACCCATGATTAAAGATAGGGAGAGAATCTTAAAAGCAGCAAGAGAAAGGGAGACAGTTATCTACCAAGGAGTTCCCATAAGGCTATCAGCTGATTTCTCAAAAGAAACCATACAGGCAAGGAGGGGCTGGAAAGAAGTATTCAAAATCATGAAAGGCAAGGACCTACATCCAAGATTACTATATACAGCAAAGCTAGAATGGGAGGGTAGATAAAGTGCTTTCCAGATAAGATAAAGTTAAAGGAGTTCATCATCACCAAGTCCTTATTACATGAAATGTTAAAGAGACTTATCTAAGAAGAAGAAGAAGATAAAAAATATGAACACTAAAATGACAACAAACTCACAACTATTAACAACTGAACCTAAAAAGTAAATCGAAAACAAAAACAAACTAAGCAAACAGCCAGAACAGGAGCAAAAATCACAGAAATGGAGATCACATGGAGGCTTATCAGCAG